ATAATAGTTTATTTACTATTGACCCCAGATAGAACAACACTAAGAAATTCCTTCGATGTGACTAGACTCAAACTAGCGTCTCTTGGCCGTGGTGTGGCAACAGAGGAGAGAAGAAGGATTTTTCCTTGGTGTTATTCAATAATAAGATTATTTTTTTAATATCAAACAGAATTTTGTCATATTTGACTGGAGTCACATACCTAACTTTTTAAATGTTTTGTTACTTTCCCTACAAATACTCCACCATAGCATAGTACATTAACTGCCTCCGTGGCCGAACGGTTACCATGCTGGTCTGCCACGCAAAGGTCCTGGTTTCGTTTCACGGGCCGGGAGAAATATTTATTTGTACATTTATTTCTCTCGTGGGTTTGGGTGTAATTTGTGGTTGTCTATGTGTGTGCCCATACAAGGTTTCCGTGCGGAGCTATGAATGTTTGCGTTATTATTAATAATACATACTATCACACTGTTCCGTGATGAAATACAATGTCTATTTTATATAAATCAAACCTTTATTCATAAATTAAAGCTAAGTAAAAGGACATTGTATCCATTTAAAAAGGTATGAGGCATAAAGCTTGTCATTTGCCGACAGGAAGTGAATCACAATTCCTAGTAGCTATTATCTATTTATCATCGAAATATCGTGTCTGTTCTGTAGAAAAATCAAGAGGCTTACATTTTAGTAACCATAACAAAACGAAGTTTATGTTTCTTCCTTTTCTTTTTATTTTGGCGCTCCTCATAGATATCTCAGAGTGCGTACAGATCTAAAGAATGTGCCGCAAATGCGCCTGTTTGCGGAAGGTTCGCGAGCTGCACGCTTGCATTACGTTGTGCGATCCGTTCGCATGCCACAAAGTATGCTTGCAGAGTCAGAGGCACATTTAACTGCACGCATACAGCGCGTACGCGGCGCACTCGCCAGATCTGCACGCACCTTAATTAATGATCAGTGCCGTGCTAACTATTTGTGACGATGTGACCTCCTTACATCGTCATCCCATCTTTTTATCGCCTTTTGACCGGTTCCTGGCCACTTGTTTTTAAATTTTGAATTGTTCTGTAATTCCTTTGCCTCGCCGTTCTGATTTTGCTTCGTTCCATCGCCACTCCCTGCTCGATCGCGGCAGCGAACTTCTCTAATTTCAATTGCGTCTAATTTTGATTCTTTTACCAGTTTTAATACCAATCTGTAATAACTACTACTAATCATGTGCCAATTTTAATACCAAGTTTTAAAATTGGCGAATTCGGGGTAAGTCTGTGTCATATTTAGTATTTGAGAAGGGAGTGTTTTGTAGCGTTGTATCTGTTTTTTCTATATACCTTTTTTGTTACAGCCTCTTTTTCCCCTTTCGATTTAATTACGAATAAATTTTCTGCGGACCGAAGTATCCTATTTTATTGCCGTGAACCTGGTCACGGCTCACTAGGGTTTACAACCATTTCACTCCCTCCCTAAAGAGGTCACATCGTCACATGTTTAAATGATCTGGTACCTATACCGCCGTGAGACCGTAGTTCCGTGCATGTTGGGTGCCACAGATCGAATATGGCAGAGTATGCTCTTATTTACCTAAAAACCGTGACAGCCTAATGATTTGACCGACCGCCTCTCAAATAGAGGGACATGGGTTCGAATCCGAGCTTGCACTTCTGAGTTTAATTTTAAAGAAATTTACCATGAGCTTTTCAGCGAAGAAAAACGTTGTGATGAACCTGCACTCATCTACAAAGCAATGTGTGAGAAGTTCCCATTCTGCAGCGGGCTCGCGTGGGGACTAAGTCCAAAACCCAAGCCCTTTCATTGAGCGAGGAGGCCTGTGCTCAGTAGTAAGACTATATACAGGCTAACTATTATCATTATATTTACCTAAACTTCAAGTCATATCATTAAAATACCTCCCCAGAATGGTTGAAAACAAAAGTCAAAATATAAAAGCAAAATAATTATTTTCTTCTAAATACACAGCCGTCTTCTAAAAACACGGTACACATCGAAATCGTTAAACAAAATTAATACCTAATTCCAAAATTTTTTATACCATAAATAGATTACCCTCCTTTTGGAATCCACCACAATCGGTTAAAGAAATGAGTGCAAAGGGCTCTTAAGTACACAAACAATTAAACTTTACCTTGACAATTTTACTTATCAAACTATGTCGTTGAAAACAGATAAGTGTTATTCAAACGTGATAAGATTCCTAATCTGTAGCGTGCAGCTTGTTTTGTTAGTTTCAAATATCTAGCTCGTTAGAGTAATGTTATCTATCTATATGTATTCTAGCTCATTATCAAGAAGGGCTGTGTTCAACAGTCTAATTTGGTTTTTTTTATTGAAGAATATCGTTGGCTAGAATTTGGTGTCAATTCTGTATTTAAAAAACACTGTTGTCTCTTTTAACTATAGTCGAGCCAAGCTGACATCCTCTTTTTGACAGCTATGAACGGCGATAGAAGTAACTTAATAATAATTGTGATATAGGAAACGAATAATTATACAATTTATCTCCACTGTGAACACTGACAACGTGTTCATTTCAGTTAAATATTTAATATTTAACTCCGATAACACAATTTAATTTAATATCTACATTAAAGTTGTGATAGTTAGTAAATAAGATACGTCATTCAAAAAGGTTATTGTTCTATGGATTTTTTTTCTTAAACCTAGAGATGTTCCGCAAACAACAAGATAAATATCTATTATGTAATTGAAAAAATTATGTAATATGGTTGTTATGGTAGATATATCCCCAGAAATTAAGCAAAAGTGTTATCGTCAACGAAAATATATACGATAAAAACTTAACGCGCACACTCATAATAATAATAATAAATACACCCACCACATACTCGTAGATGTGGTTCGAACCAGCTATCAAGCTGAGAAGAATAAAGTAAATAATAATAATAACGCACACATTTAACATAGCCCCGCACTAGAGAAACCCTATGTCGCGGGTGCCATGGACACACACTTAGACAACCACAAATTACATCCAAACTCACGAGAGAAATAAATGTAAGCCATACAAATATTTCTCCCGGCCCGGGAATCGACCCTGGGACCTCTGCGTGGGAGTCCGGCATGGTAACCGTTCGGCAACAGAGGCAGTTTGACAACATGAAAACATTTTGAAAACTAATCAAATCAATTATTGCAGACGCCGGTCATAAGATTAATTACTTGTGTATTTACAAGTATTATGTTAATTTTGCCGAAAAAAATTTTAACAAATTATTTAAGTAACCAGAAAATTATCAAAACATGTATGGGTAAAGTAAAAATTTGATTTGGTAACATTGTATGTTGCACTCACTGCATATTGCATATTATACATCAATACGAATGCGATAGCCTTGTATGCGTTTTGTTGTTTGTTGTTTCTGTTCCTTGTGGTCTCAGGTGAGCATGAATACTACTAAATTCCTATATTATATTAGTAACTAGCATCATACTAGTATTAATGATACTAATTAAAGTGGATGTGTTACTAAGCTATCTGTCAAAAAGAGGATGCTCTCTTGGCTCGACTATAATGGACATTGCGATAGTCACGCGAACTCAAATTCATAATCAATCTAAGTAACATCCGTTTCTTTCAACATCTTTAACAGAAGAACTAAAGATTTTATTCAATTTCAAAGCTGTTTTTAAACAGGCCCTTGCTTATACGTGATACCAATACATGGCGCATGAAATTAAGTTTACGGTTGGCAATCTAATAGCGTGTTTATACAGATTCCTTCGGTAAACTACTTCGCTTTGCCGAAGGAGGGGCAGTCGAGTCGCTGTTTACACCGAGCCGACTGCCGCCTGTTCGGTAAGCGAATTCATCAAAGGCGGATACGTACGCCTTGTTGCCTTCGCTCGCCAAGATCACTAAGTCGAAATCACGTCACTATAAATACAAGTTTACGCAAAGAAACACAACCAATCGTTCTAAACATTCAACAAACTCGGGTAGGTACGTGTTCCTCGGCCCCCAGCAACAGTGGCGAGATGCGACCGCCGATACGTTGAAACATGTGTTCGTAAATTATTCACCGCCACTTAAATATTGTTGAGATCTAGTCAAGATGCAAGTCTATTGTAAATTCTTTTATTCTTTACGTTAGCATAAGTGTTGTAGTATACATGTATTGATTATAAAAATAATGTTTTATTGAATAACATCAACATATTTTTATATACTTCGGCAGCCAAACGATACTTATTTTTTTAATAGCGATCATTGCCACGTGACATTAAACCGCAGATGAAAAGATGTCAGCGAATATCTCGTACGTCTAAGCATGCCTTAGACTATTAGTTTTTATTTTTTTCCATCCTCTAAGAAGCATGCACTCAAAGGTGCAAGCTGTCAATTGTCTGTCAAAATTATGTCGCATGACTTATCGCTGCTGGCGGCCGTCGTTAGACAAAGCAAGTTGAGAAACATTAATTTTATCTAATAAAAAACCATCCAGCAAGCCAAAAGATACGGGATGGACCGATTCGCCTACGTTAGTTAGGTTTAGTGTTCGCAGTTAGTATTAAGAAATTACAACTTGTAGTGTCACCTAGAATAATGATAGCGAGGCTATGAGAACGACACAACAACGTTATCTAAATTGATTCACCAATAATACGAACGACGTGACTTCGCTGGAAGTACATGCATAGGAAATGTACCAAACAAAAATAAAAAATATCACCGGTGTACGGTGTACGGGTGTAAAAAATTTTAAATTCGCTGATTAAAAAAAACAGTAAGTTTATCTTTTCATATAGGTCAACATTTTATTACACTCGTATGTATTATACTTACAATTAATTAGTAATAAAAAAAAATTATGTACCCATAAAGAACGTTATGTTGAGTAAAATCGAAAGAAGTAATAAGTTTCATATAAATCGTTTCAAATAACGAATCTTTCTACAGGACCACATAAGTCGGAGAAAGACAAGAATTACACAATGTTATAAAACAATAAAAAATACTTACTTGCCAATAGTAGAAAGCCCCAGTCCTTCGAAAGTAGCAAAAATCATCAAAGAATTAGGGTTCTGCGGCCACACTATCTTGTCCAAATCCCCCAAATTCTCTATGTTATCCAACTCTGAACACTGAATATTCAAAATAAACTTAATATTATCTACGTCCGAAATTTCACTGCACGTGCACGCTGCACAAATTTCCACCTCACTGCGGCTAGAGCCGATAAAAAATATAGTAAAAAAATAAAGTATCATTTTTATTATTTCAAATTTCGATTTGGACACATCTACACACAGCCTACAAGCATAGTAGAATGATAAAGTTCTTTATCGTCGCGTTATCGGCATCGAATGAGAAGGTACATTGCTGAAAGTGACGCATCGCGATAAAAATGGATTAGAAATAGCCCAACGATTAACCGGTAAACATTGCCATCCTTTTTTGTCAAGCCCTTTAAGCAAGACGTTCACTTTCCTAAACGACAGCCGACAGTCTCATAGTGAAGTAGTGGATTATTGAGGCATTGCAAGGTGTTAGATCGCAGGTCCTTGGCTTTAAGGCTTAAAAAATTTATTTACTTTAGTTTTATTTATGTAAACCTTAAAGTTATACTTACTTACAAAAAAGTTGTAACTTGACGTTTCCACCATTAAAAAAACTTATACTATGTTTTTTTTTCACAAAAACAAAATGGTGTGTTTTTATATTACGGTTTTATAATAAATACATTTTTATTTTAAGTATGTACATACATTGCGTTTTGAGATTCTTAATTATTTGTTACCGATTTAAGCTGATGGCTCTTTAGTCAATGCTCAATAAATAAAATAATACCTAAATAATAATGTATAAGGTGCTCATTTTTTTATCCACAGAGTTCTGGTATTCGACTTTGATTCTATTCTACTAGTACAATAGAATCGCTCTATGTAGATAGAGCTACGATGATAAAAAAATACCGAAGTCTACTTCTTCACTTTGATGGGTTTACATTTAAGTCAATGCATGCATATGTTTAGATTTAGTAAAATACGGGTCAGCATTGCAACGCGGTGAATGTGCCCCTTTAGGTACAGGAAACACAACGTAACTGTACTTTTAACTACCAATACATCATGAAAATTTACGATAGACACAGTTGAATACGTGATTACATATTTTAATACTATAAACACCTATGTAGTCTAATCGGTATTACATATTTGTTTATATTGCTTATATAATGGCAACAAAGCAAAAGTGAAAAAAACTACATAAAAGTGAAATTAATATTAAGGAGACTTCAAACATCTAAACGATTACGTATGGAGCCGTTTAAATACATCACATTTCATTTACCTACCATTACGATCTATGTTACCTTATTGTTATTATTTACATAAAACCCAGTAAGCACAACAGCCTTGTCTAAATAGAGTAAAATGAAAACACGGTACAGGGCAACGTAATGTGCAACAAACACAAATATTGAACTATACGTGCGCATATCGTAAACACGAATCCACAACTGTCTCAGGCGGTTTCAATTATGAAATAAGATACGGCATAATGTACCTATATAAAATTTACATCTACTCATCTACTACTCGCTCAAGTGTGAAACGAAAAAGACTGAGGTTCACTCAGACCTAAAAAATAACAATTACGTATCTTATATTAAAAAATAACAGTTACGTTGTTTAGTTTACGTCACCTTGTTTCAGGTGTTTATAAAGACGGCTTTGAAGCCAGTGCCGGCTTTACCCATAGTGCAGGGCCTGTGGCGCACACGGGTGCAGGGGCTTAGGGGGCGCCGAATAAACGGGCTATTGCTTCCCAATATCATTTATAATTGCACGACTTGCACCCGAATTTCAGACAACTGGAATTATCGAAGGAATTTTTTCTGAGTGTTCGATCTTTGCATTAATAATTATAACAAACTAGTGGAGTATTTTCACAAAAAATAATTTAATATCAATTCAATAAAAATTTAATTAATACAGTGAATAGCGACATCTCTCGCCAGGACTGGTAGCTGTAAAGGTACTAACTGGGTGATAAATCTGTCATAGATTTCTCATAGATGGCGCTACGACTAAAGAGTCGTTGAAAAACCAAATACAAAGACACGACGCAAGCGCATAGAAAAAATCGTGAGGTCCGTTGGTTCGTTCCGTGGCTTAGTTGGTATAGCGTCTGGCACGGTATGCAAGAAGACGTCGGTTCGAATACGACCGGATCGAAGGAATTTTTTCTGAGTGTTCGATCATTGTATTAATAATTATAACAAACTAGTGGAGTAATTTCACAAAAAATAATTGAATATCAATTCAATAAAAATTTAATTAACTGTAAGTATTGAAAAGGGAATACTTACTCAAAAGGGAATACTTACAACTGTAACTATTCCTTTTTGGACGCCAGAGTATTGATTGCACTCGGGCGCTACATGGGCTAGCACCGGCACTGTTTGGATCTGAAAGCAGCTTGCAACTTAGCTCAATTGCTACTACACGGACTAAAGGATTTAATGAGAAGGTTTCGAGAGATCTTCTCTGCAATTTAGGTACAATCACAGCACTTCAAACTTAACACTATGGACTTTGAACTGATCTTATTGTGAGCCGCATAAAGTTCATTTTAAATCATAAGTATCGAACTAGTCGTGGTTGTGAGCGGACTAGAGCGCTTATAAAGGTTTTAGAGCCATTGTCTGGAATTGATGTCCTGCACATGGGCAATAGCATTTATGGGATAGTTTTCGAAGTTGTTGTCTGTAGTTAAAGGTAGAAAGACAAAATTGATATTAAATTTTTTTATTTATAATTATTATTATTAGTATTTTATTATAACGCTCACGCTCACACTCAATAACGCAAAAATTATTATTTATTTATTTTGTTGTTATTTCTTTTTTTTTCATTTGTGATGTCCAATATGTGAATTAAACACATAAATGCGTCTTCAATTAATTTTATTTTACAGTTTTTCCTATAACCCGACGGTTGCCTGAAAGAGATTGCTATTTAGCCATACGGCCGCCTGTTGTACCTGTCATATTTTTTTTGTTTTTTGTATTATTATGTACTTGTTCCAGTGTGCAATAAAGAATATTTGTATTGTATTGTAAATACTTAGATAATATATATGAGACAGAAAGATTTACCTGTACTTTTTTCTTCTTGTTATTTTTCTATATCTCCCTACTCAAACCACCTTAGAGGATAGGAAAAAAATAAGAAAAAAGAAAACCAAAGATGTGCACTAGAGTGCAGTCAACTGTAGTTGACGTACAACGTGTTGGAGGATTTGCGAGGTAGGTATTACCTTTGAAGGGACAGGTTAAAGAGGAAAAGATACTCTCTCCACAGCGAGAGGTGAAGCTGGCTATAAGTTGGTAAATAAACAGTGAAGTCTTTGTTTAAGTATTCTTAGGTTTTTCCGAATGCTACGAAACCTACCTACCTACTTACTAGAAATGAAATCATTTTATTTATTTAGATATTTGATCGTTCAAACAAACCAATGATGATCACGGCTGATATGAAAAAACAAATATACAGCCCAATTGAGAACCTCCTCCTTTTTTCGAGTTGATTAAAAAATAGTTTAAGTATATTAAAACACGTTCGAATATAATGCCTCCCGCTCTATCAACATTTCATCTGTGCATGAAACAGTAGATCGATAAAGAAAAGGAAGAACTAGATATTAAAGGTTGCTACGGCTACCAGAGTTATGGTTTAGAGTGTCACCACCACCATCAACATTCAACGCGGAATGGGCTAGAGCCAGTCATATTTATGTCAGTGCAATAAGAGCGAAAAAGACGTTGCGCGCTTCGCTTCCGCTCGGACCTTAGGGCTTACTCAGAGTAAAGGGGTGGGCACAGTGGCGGGTGCGGCGTTTTCCCTTTCACAGTGCCGAAGCGGCTACGAGCGAGTAGATCCACACGTCCAAATCGTAAACAGACACTAGACGCTAGACCAAGCACTGTGAAAGATACAGGCGGACCGAGCCAATCATCTACAAGCGCGACGCGCTCTCCCGTGCCCACGCCCGCGTCGTGGCCACTGTGAGCATAACGAACCTGTACGTACATTTGATTTACACGCACACGCGCCCGCCGCCACTCTGAATAAGGCCTTAGACGCAGAACGCACTTGTTTTTCGCTCTTATTATACATAAAGATTTTTTGGCTAGCTTAATGCTATTCCGGGTCGATAAAGTATGGTGACTCCCTTACACATTAATTAAGTGGCTGAAACGCTAACCGCGATAAGCCAAGAAAAATAAGAAAAAACAATTAAAGTCTCACCCAAAACTATTGGTAAAGGAAATGATCCATACTAAACACAAATTATTATAGAAAGGTATAGTAGGAACAGATAGGAAACAGGCCCTATAACAGAACGTTCGTAGAGGTAGTTCCGTGCCCCGTGACAGCACGCTGGTGGCGCTAGTGTACCGAATAGTGACGCGCCTCAAACCTTTATGGATCGGTTACTATTAGTGATATCCTGTATCGCACTTTTACGGTAAAAATTACTGTTTCATCGGTCCTAGTTACTTTTTCAGATTGCTAATGTTTTATGGTTTAAAATAAAATACTGTATTTTCAGTTATATCTGTTTATTAATAACGAAAGCTACTACCGTTTCGTAAAGATGTTAACGCATGGAGATGGAGATGTTAACGAAGAAACGGCGAAAGAAACTCTCAGCAACACATCTTTTGAATCTAACAATTAATGAATGATAACAAAACACAATTATTAAACAAAAGGTCGCTCGGCGGGTTAGAGCACATAAATCAAAAACCAACATCATTCGTTTATAGTAATACATCTACCGACTAAACACAGTCTAATTAATTTTTACTTTAATTTGCAACTTAAATTCTAGTAGCGTCTTTTTTTTAGATTTATCATTCTCTTCGCATCTTCCGACATTAGAAACAACAAGAAAATATATAATTACATATCAAAAGATTTGTAGTGAAGTAAACATAACGATAAGTTTTTTTTAAAGTTTAATTTTAAAAATCGTTTATGCAAAATTCGATACACCAACAAAATTATTACATATTAAATGCCGAAAAGTACATGCTTAGATAAAGTGTCACTAAATCCTTGAAGACACCGAGAAATCACATTATCATGTCACGTTGTCGTGTTAAACCATCGAGCATGTTAAACTAAGTAAGCATAGTATTCAGCTTCAGTGCTAGAACAAGCCACATTGTTGTTGTTGTTTGTGACTGTACCAATTTACAATGCAAAAGCCGAACCTGCTCAGAAATCCTGAATATGACTTTCGATCAGTCTTATCCCCAGCCCAATCTGCGTCAAATGAGATTTCACCTTTACTACTACCTCTACTAAAATTAACTCCGTAGCTAGTTGGAACTGAGCAACTTATATAGCATATTTTTTTGGTGTTCATTTGAACTAAATATGAAGAAGTCATCAGCAAAAAGTGCTATGATGGCCTTGTCTTTGTAATAGATACATTTTTCTCAGTCTTTAATTGAGTATAGGCAATGGTATTTAAAACTTTATGCACTTTTCATTGCAAGTTCTACTGGCTTGTTTGAGTTCATATAAACGCTTCTTGGGTAGACAAACTTTGCACCTCAATCTCAAATTCAGTAGGTTGCTCCATGCAAATGCATTCATTGCGATCTCCATTGGGGAATGCCGTATTAATGCATTCGTTGATTATAATAATCTTTAGGCATGCAGGTAATCGTTCAGTCACCGAGGCCGCTTTTGTTGTGCACAAATTAGAAAGATATTTGCTGTGTAAAATAACTCACATAGGCATGCCTATGAATGCGGTTCCGGTGCGTAAGCGACGATGTTAATCTTGAGCTGTGAGACCTTAGGAGGTCTATCCACACTCGTTCCAGATCTAAGATCAAACCTGTGCCGAAGCTACCGGCACAGGTTTGCTGTCTCCGATGTGGATGAACAGCCGTCGACGAGGCACCTTATGAACACGAGACATATCTCTGAAAACACAAAAAGAAACAAAACAAACAAAGTACAAACCAATAAGTTGAAATTGCTGAAGTCCCACGCCAACAAGTTGGTCGCTGATTGTTTTTGCAACAAATAATAAAAATTTTATTAGAAATATTCAGTAAATCTTTCCCTCGCAAAGCGAGAAAAAATCTCAGAATTCTAGAAAAGAAAATGAACGGTCAAATTTTTTTTTATGTCGAATAGGACAATCATCCTTTCTGCATCGTGATTGTGTTCTCAAAATTAGATTTTTTTAAAGTAAAATTTATTAAAGTTTTAACTACTAAAAAAACTTATTGTAACAATAAATTTAACACGTCAATTTATTATGCATTTTAAATCATTTACATAATTTCATTCCAAGAGTTGCCGATTCTTTATTTAATTGTTATACATATTTCATTTTTAATCTGTGTTTTTTGTGTCAAACGCTT